CATGAACAGGTGAGCAGGAGCCCTGATGAGCGTGTCTACTACCTGAGGTCCCAAGGGAACCCAGCCTTTGAAAGAGACTGGCACAGGTCCCTGAGGCCATGCCTACAGGCCTGGATTAAGTAACTCTAAGTATGTGAGGTACTAAGTTCTCATCAGTTACTCCCTAGAGTAGGCTATTGCCCTGATGCCAGCTAGCCTGCTCCAGCCAGCACAGTCACTAATCAAAACCAACGACTTGGTGATTAGGAGTGGAAGTTCTGCTTCTTGCTCCCTGTGTGAAACTGGACAATTTACCAGCCCTTCAGAGCATCTGTTTATTAATCTGTACAGTAGGGACATTCGTGTTATTGTGGAGGTGTTTATCAACTGGGACCGTCTATTCTGCTATCTGAAAAACTCCTCTTGGCAGTACCTTGATGGCATTCAGTTCTGGTGAAAGACAGCTGCCCAAGCAGAACAGACCAGACTGCTTTTCCCAGCCAGATGTCCGGTTGTGAGGTGCACTCCACCCATCTTGCTTGAAGGAGATGTGGATATGGTCAGAAGAGCAGCAGTGGTGGGCACACCTCAGGTGAGTCGGGCAGCAGAGGAACAGAGCTCAAGGGCAGAAGTTCAAGACTAGCTCTGGAGAACATGCTATAGCCCACCTGGCTGGCTGCGGCTCCTTGAGTCCACACTCCTTTTCACAGCCTCATATTCTACCCAGCTGACAGCTTTGAACGTGCTTCCAATAAACTTCCTCCCCTTCTGACAGTGACTCAGCCTCTGCTGCTTATAGCCAAGAATGCTGGCAGATACAGGGCTTTCTATGCAGGCTGTGGCCAAGCTTTACTGCAGTCAGATTTGTAAAGCATTTCACTGAATGGCTAGCAACTGATCAGGGTCAGAACAAGTTAACTATTGAGATGGTTTCAGACTTCGAAGCATGGCCTCATGAAGGGATGATCTGAGTAAAACACAGGTTTGTGTTCCCAAAAAAGAACACCTAGAATTCTGGCTCTGTAATTGACAACTTCTCTTCACACTCAGATGTTGGATGCTTAGGGTCTCACATTTGCCATATTCAGTGTGAACTGGCAACATTGTATATGAACACAATACGGAGACACGGATCATCCAAATCCAACAAGGACATCAAGTGATGATGTTGGCAACACATTTCCCTTCTTCTGCAAACCATAGTTTGCTGATCTTCACATTAAAAAAGACTGCAGGCTCAGAATACACAGCTCATGGTAGCAGGACAAAACCAGAGAGGGCAAGGGTAGGGGTCAAAAGCCAGCTCTACAGGGCAAACAACTCTCTTGGGGACATGGCTATAACTGCTTAGCTGGGCCTCTTGGCTACCAGACATGCTTGGAGTGGCTGAATCTGCTTCTTACCTGACAAGAGTATAAGGCCAATGAGTAAGGTATTTGGCCTTGCTTTGTAATTTGGAACATTTCAGACACCGGCTGCTGCCATCATTACCATCATCATCGCCATCATTACCATCTCCATCGTTATCACCACCATTACCACCATCAACATGACCACCATCATCATCACCATCATTCCCACCACCACCATCATCATCATCATCATTACCATGAGCACTGACATTACCATCGTCACCATCATTATCACCATCAACACAATCATCATCTCCTTGTCCTTAACATTTAGCTATTACATGCTACAAGGATGAGCTAAATATTTTACACACTTTAGTTCACTTAATCCTTAGAAAAACTTTCTGAAGGGCTGGAGCTGTTGTTTGATGATGAAGCACTAGTTTAGCACGCATAAAATCCTGGGTTCACAAAAACCTACCTCTGCACCACCAGAAAGGAAAAAAAGTAGCCTTATAAAGGCAGGAACTGTTTTCATCAATACACTGATGCAGAGGGAACTCGAGTAAGCAGCCCTAGGTCATGTAGCTCAAAGGTGGAGGAATCATGATAGGCCCTCGGGCTCTGCCAGATCCCTTATCACACAGCTGTAACTCACCAGTGTCACCTCCCCCGACCCTGGCACACCTTTGCACACTCTGACTTAATTTCAGCCTAGCCCACTTTCCACAGACCTTTCTCTGCAGCCATAAGAGTCACACAACAGAATTTTTGCCAAAGTGCCTTTGTGTTTTTATTTGTAAGACAGGTTTTATGCTTGGGTTGGTGCTGGTGGCTGATTCTGTCTCTTCTTTATGTTATAAAGTCTTAGGTACATGCCATAAAAATGTCCCATGATGCTTGTGGCAATATATTGATCATAACCATTTAATCTTGTGTGCAAAGCCAAGGGCTAGGTACACACTTCTTTCTGAGTTTGGCCCACAGGTTTGAGCTCATAAATCTACACTCACATACTAGTGCTGGGGCGGGGTTGGGGGGAGGAGGTAAAAAAGGATTATTTATGAATGGGATTCTCAGGCATTCTGCCCCAGATTAATTGCTTTCAATCCTATTTTATGGAGGTCCATTGGGTCAATGATGGGAAAATGAATCTCAGTCATATAGCTTCAATGGGGAAAAAAATTCAGAAGTCACATGTATCTTACTGAAGTGTTGATGTACAGTCAGGCTGGGCTGTGTCCCAGGGTACAGAGGGCAAGACTCTGCAACTCTGGAGGGGGCATCTGTAAGGATGATGATGCCCACGCGCACCTCAGAGAGCAGCTGTAGCTTGCAGCGCCAGGGTCGCTCCAGCCAGCCTTCTCTGACTTTTTACTACTCCTGTCGTCTTCCAGGGAGGCGGAGCACAGATCAATAAGATGCTCGACAGTGGTGCCTGCAGCATGGCCATTTCTCAGGCTAGACACTGATGGCACCTATCACTAGCAATAAAAGGCCACGGGAGACAGAATGGAGGCCTGTCCATTGCAGACCTGTCCACCAATCTCTGATAAACATCTCCCGCATAAGCCTGCAGCAAAGAAACCATTTCAGGAGGCAACATGCCTGCCCTCTCTGAGGACCAGTCCATTGTGTTCCTGGTGTGCTCTGCGCAGACAGAGTCTGCTGGCTCCAGGGAAGGTATTGCGAAGCCCCATGTGCTACTGAGTGAGATCCATTCCAAATTAAATTATTTGAGGGAAGCCACACCTCGTCAGTCCTTTCTCATTTTTTGGAGAGGAAAAGATGTTGTTCTGCCAAACTAGTTGCTGCAAGTGCTATTTTTTCATCCTTTCTCCTGCATTTGAAAAATAACTGGTCTGGAAGTTGCAGCCGGAGTAGGTCTAAGTAGCTTGTCCCTCATCATCCTGGGTGGGCATTCTTTACTGATTTCGGTGGCCTAAAAAATATTGCCCAATCCTAAAACTGCATAAACATACAACCACTGGGTTCTTTTCCTCCCTTCCACCCTGCACGCACTACATGGGACTGTGAAGCACTGAATTCACAACATCCTATGAAAGGCAGGTGGGCAGGGCAAGGGGACACGGGGAAGCCCTCTCTGGTCTTGGGTTTAGACTCATAATACTAAACAGAATAAAACTTAGGAAAATGGCACAATGAAAACTTTCCCAAATCACTTTAGGCAATCTTCAGAGGACGCCACGGTGGAAAGAGGCAAAGCATTTTTGCACAGGACGAACCACCCCAGCGGAGACTCCTACACTCAACATCACTCACACTGAGATTAGGAAGCATTTTATTGTGGGACACTTTCCTGTGCTGTGCGGGCACTTGGCATCCTCCCTGGTCTCTCCCCTCTAGGTTCTTCCTACCACTCCCAGTTGTGTTAGCCAAAAGATCTCCAAATGTTATACACTGACCCCAGGCTAGACCCTTTAGTTGAAAACAGCTGCTGCTTGCAAAGGTGTAGAGGCAGGAACAAGGCTGGTATTACGGCTGATTTTGGTTGTCAGTTTGACTTGATTGATATTAGAACACTCTAGGGGTGTGTGTGGAGGGTGTTCCCAGGGGAAGTACTGACTGAAGGGGGAAGACCATTATGGGGTGGCTAGCACCATCCCATAAGCTGGGGTCCCAACCACGGGCATATATTCTCCTCTATTCTCCTCTTCTCTTTCTCTCTCTCTCTCTCTCTCTCTCTCTCTCTCTCTCTCTCTCTCTCTCTCTCTTCTTTTTTTAAAAAGGCTCCCCCTCTGCCCC